ACTATACTTTTTTATACTTTCTTTACCTAAATTCATTCCTTTAACTAATCACATTTTGGGACATATTTCCAAGTTACAGCTTGCAAATTTGGTTAGTCATGTCCTACCTCACATCTTTGTTCATGTTGATCGGGTTAGTACATCGATTAAAGATCTTGACTGACGAGCTGTTTATGCATCCAACATTCTTAGATAATTGAGAATTATTTACTTCTTTAGATCTTTAGACAACTGGCAAAGAAAGTCGCTTTCTCAATCTTAATCTTTACTGCCCTTCACTAGCTTTTTGTTTCATTCTTTTACAAATTGGGTGCATTTCCGGAGTTTATTAATATGCTTTCCTCAATTATCTAATTTCAAGCATTGCTTTCTAGGCGCATTTGATTCAAACCAGTTTTCGGAGCTCGATTTTATGGAGTTGTGCCTTTTCTCACAATACCACATCTCATCCCTGCAGTCAATTGGAGGGCAATGAATTGTAGGCCTTAGTGATTAACATCGAGTCAACCTAAAAGCGGTGAGCCATTCGTTCAAACTCCAAAAACTTTGTCATGGGAATTAACCTTAGCACATAATTTAAATAATAAACTCGTTTACACATAGAGCTTGCGAACTATATTTTGAAGAAATGTACCAAGACAACGGTACGACGATGGAAATCATCATGAATTTTATGGCAGAGGACACAAGGCTAGGGTCATTCTACAAGTTCTACCTGTTGCTCCGACCCAGTTGCGAAAGCAAAGTCAAACTATCGTTTAAAAAAACTTTGTTTGTTGGAAGTTTGATTTTCAGAACAAGAGTTCTATTTTTTATATTCCTTGGAAGAGACTAAGCTATATTCTCTAATGTACAGATTAATTCAAATTTTTGAAATTCTAACTTACCTGAGTGTCTGGCAGTATTCTTATTGATGCCTTCTTATTATCTTGAATGCACCAAGTTAATTATTCACTCTTCTGCATAACTATCAAATAAGTTTTTTGGCTGTATAATCTTGTTTAACTAAGACGTATTCTTGCTACATGAATTACCACGTGTGACTCTCTTAAGTTCTCTTCAACCCTTTCTTCTTTTATCAATTTTTTTCGTTTTACCATCTCAATAAAGGAAGGTGAAGTATGTGACTTCTGGGAATGTACAAAGTTTATGGTTTTACGTTCTGCATTTCTATAACCTTTAAGCAGATGACCTACGACAAGGTGCATCCAACTAGGTTTTCATGACAATACGGTCAATTTGCAAAAACGCAGACCTCTTATATTCTGCGAAAGGTCAATACGACTAAAACAAAGGTCACAACATCATATCAATTTATTTTTATTTCACTCGCTATTCTCTATAATTAAGTCAGTCATTCTCAATCTACTACTATATTATTTGCCTAATTTATTAATATACTTTATCTTCATTTTTATATCTGGATATTTGTACATAACTTTTATTATAATTTCAGTTTCTGGGTAACCCAACTTAAATTAACACTTTTACTTAATACAGACCTCGCAAGAAGACCAGTATCTTGCAGTTTCCGAACAGCCATCAGGCCACTCAGCTGGACAATTCACCCTACCCCGCCTGCAGTCCTGATTACCTTGCTTCTCTCGAGTTATCTACTAGTAGCCGGGGTTTAGCTTCGGTCGCATCGGCTGCCTCTACAACTTCCAGCTTCTCTGTGAACTCTCATCAGCCTGGTTCCCCTGAGCTTCCACAATACAGCCTACCTTCGTCTGTCCGTCAAGCTGCCTTAAATTTGCATAATCTGCCAGCTTCAATTAATGACTCCGAAATGGTATCTAACTCGACCGTACTTCCTAATATTCCAATTTCGTTGGGTTCGCCTAGGATCTCCACTAAATCGTCGCCTAATGGATACCCATCGCCCGCCCAGCCACCCTCCGACTTGGATCCACTCCTTCTTCGACCAGGTCAAATGACCTCAGGGCAAACGCCGCAGCTACAGCACTCTAAAAAGCCATTTTTCAGCCAATCTGTCCCAGTATCTATGACAGGAAATTTGACTGGACCTTCTAGCTCAATACATCCGACATCAAAGCCAGCATCGCCGCAACCTTTGCTAAAGCACGAGCACTTGTCAGCGCATATTGACACGTCGCCTGCCCCTCTTTCTGATTCGGCATCTGTGCCACCCTCAACTGTGTTAGCTGTACAAGATATTTTGCCACCACACAGTCCAAAGCGTAAAGAGCAGATAGCTTCGGTATCCCCTAAGATCCATCAGACTTCGCTAGCACTTGATGAAGAAGCTGTCTACAGCAGTGGTGGTGTGAGTCCTATCTTCCATTATTTTTTTTTATGTTGAATTTTATTTTACTCTTCCCTTTATTCATGTAATTTATTACTTACCCTTAATGCTCCCGTAAGAAATTACTATTAATTAAAATAAACTTTGTGTGAAAATTTACGACTATTCTCAGTGGATTACAGGTAAAACCTGATATGGTTTTTGGAAATAATAATAATCCTTCCTTTAAGTGCACTTTATCAGTCATTATCCATTTGGCTCTAGCTTGACTTAGTTTTCATCAAAAGTTTAGGGATACTATTCAGAACTTCTTAAACTCTATTACTGGCTAGGATACCAGTTATTGCATTATGGAAAATAAGGTGCATGACTCTCGTTAATAAAGCATACCTTCTTGAGCATAATTGTAGATGTTTGCCCTATTATCTACAAGACTCCTTTATTTGATTATATATCAGTATCTCGTTTGAAATGCCCTATGGAGCCTATATGTATTAACATGGGAAGGAGAATGTAATTGTATCCTAATTCTTCCTATTGATTTTTTATAAAATAAGAAAATACAAGACTGCAACTTCTTTTCCAGTCAATAAGTTACTTCTATATCTTACAGCACGTGACACCCAATGCATACGTGCAAAACGCCTTATTACTTCTTTAAATAAGATCCCTTTACTAGTCATTTTCAACGATAGCTGCTTTAATCATAGAATTTTCAACAATAGTCGTTACTAAAGGCCCACCTGACTCAGTCGTACTTTTGAGCATACAAGGTTACAGCCTCAGCTTATATTTAAGCCTGGATGAGTAGTAATCTATTTTATAACTAACCAGTTCCTTTATTCAATTCTATGTTACAAAAATTTATTAAACTACCTACTTGGTGCCTAATATAAAACGTGTTCAATATCCATTTTGAGTTTAATTCGTACTTTCAATAGATTCTCTGAGTAAACCTATCAACCTGGCTGAACTGACGTTATATTAGCCACCATCTGTCTAGTAATAATGTGGCAGTTGTTAATTAGAAGCAAGAGTAATATAGTTTTGCATTTGGGGTCGTTCGGAATTGATACACATCTGTTTCAACCACTTCTAGAAATTCATCATAATCCCAATTTAATAGTTTTCAGTATGCTATCTAATAAACATAGTTTGAGTATTGCAATAACTCATTATTTTCCTTCTACCCCGGGCACTTATATATTGTTTACTTTTTTTAAATAAAAACCTGCTTTATAGCATTTATGTCGCGTTTAGAACCACTAACTTTCTTAGCCATTCTTAGCACCAAACTGCAACACGTCTCTGACGAGGCCGACTGCAGTGCCGGCCATAATCTGACGCTTTCTATTATCATTTATTGTATTATAGAGGATTCTGGACAAGGTGCGTTAATCTAAGTCCCTCTGACAACACGATCAAGTTGTGAAACGAGGTAAAACCACCTCTAATTCGTTAAGTAACTGCCTTAAAGAGCTAGACTCTCTCGAAGCGAAACTACTTGACTCATTGTCCTCTAGCTTTAAGGTAGCCCCAATAAGAAACTTAAAAAGTCATTCTATCCTAGATTGTAAGCTCTCAGACCTAATTACATTTGCATTAAGCTTTCTTCTCGGAACTTATGAACAATTTGCTTTCTATAGTCTTTTATTTATTTGACAACTAAAGCACTACTTTTAGCTTCTGTTCATTATTATATTTTTGTGTTTTTTTACTCATTACTACTGATAATGCATTCATACTAATTGTTTCATATAACAACCATTGATTTCCTCATTCTCTATATGTTACTAGCTTCTTAGGATTTCACATTTTACCCTATTTCATGTAAATAGAACAATTTGCTTGGTCTGACAGCTTCATTATCAAAGTGTTTTTGGCACCATTCTCTTATATAAATAGATCCATTTTTATAAATTAGCTTTGTACTTAAATCAAACTAAATAGTATTTTAGACGTTGTTTGACCTTGTTTTCGCAAATTAGACATATTGGTAGGAAGATATGGAGGAACACATCTAGTCCGATGTCCATAGTATGCATGCTAATTTCCAGTCGGACCGTGAGCGTGATACATTCCCAGGCGTTTCACCGGCATCGTCAGTGAGCATTGCCAGTCTTATCACCACACTACAACTCGTCAAATAGACAAATGATGCCGATCCTTTGACCAATTGTCTGCTAAACAATCGTGGTATTTTTCCTTCCACTTTGGACGAATCACCAATCCTATATCTTCATATCACCCCTTCACTAATAAACTTTTTACTTGCTTATTTAAATGTGATATGGTGTTTTCATTTAAGCGGATTTCATGAGAATACACAACACCCAACGCTGGCTTTCTCACCCTCTTTACTCTTGTGCTAGGAATGTTGATCAGAGTCTGTTACATTGTTACACAGTCTTCCTGCCATAGGTCTTATCACAGTCTCCCTCTTGCTATCTCCCTCGTTAGAGTATTTCACTCAACTCCTGCCATTCTATTTGCGCTAACCGAGGCGTTATTTCCCACACTGCCTCTGTGAGACTCAATTGAGGCTAAAGAACCCGAGTAATTCTGATGGTCAATCCTTTGCTTCATTCACCATATATGTGCTTAAACACATCTACTGTTAGCCAACTAAGTCTAGTCTCAGCCGCATTTATCATGCTTCTATCTATAATGCCAAGTCTATGATTTCCTATGCCATAGTCTCTTGTTTGCCAATTCACAAATGCTGTGGTTCTACATTGAAACTAATCTAACCAAGCAGTACCACAACATCTGTGAGTTGGCACGCGAGAGACTAGGGCATAGGAAGTCATAAACTTGGTATTATGGGTCGAAGCACGATAGATGCGGTGGCTAGTTGGCCAACTGTAGAGGGGTTTGATCATAGACGTGATACATGAAGCAAAGGCTTGACCATGAGACTTACTCAGAGGCTTTAGCCTCGAATTAATCACACAGATGCAGGGGATGGGTAATAACGCCTCGAGTAGCACAGATGGAGTGACAGGGGCCGAGTGAAATATTCGAACCAGAGAGATAGCATACGGATCCTACGGGGCAAGAGGAAGACTGATAAGGC